AGGGTCAATATAATTTCTTAAGAGTCCATATGCATAGCTAAAGGCTACATAACAAGCAACAATGCCAGATAGGGGATACCTTCTTTTGAGTTGTTGGCCAGGGTGGCCAAAGGGACTCCAAGATAGTGACCCAGCATAGAACTGGGAAAATGAACAGCACACCACTATCTTATCTAAAGGAATATTGACAACTGATTACCGCTAGATGAGTAACAGCTGACCTTCCTAAAACAAAGACCTCTAGATAGGCTGAGTAGATTCACCAAAAGGGCAAGTAGTGGGGAATGGCTGGGGGTGCCGACAACACAGCAGACAGTAGCAGGGATATCAGAGTATAAGGGCTCTAGTAGGGGCAGGGAGGCTATGGGAGGGTACGATCTGATAAGTGGGTGTATAGTTGAATAAGATGGTTTGTGATGTTCTGTGTGAAATACACGCACACACACACATACACACACAAAATCAACAAATTTTTTTTTTAAATGTATTATATTTGAGGAGGACGCATGGAAATTTACATCATGCCAATTAGTAGAGGTGATAAACATTACCATTGAAATCTACCTGATGACTTTATAGACATACACAGGCTCCAAGGATCCAAGTGCAACCGATTATGACTAGTAATAATCAGATACATACAGATTAGCGACGCATGTGCCAACATCTCAGTGTTTGTAGCAAAAACAATGAGTCTTTCTGCAAAGGAACAATATATTCTAAAATGAAATGGAGATTTTTTTTAATCATTATTTTTTAAATTTTTAATAACTGTGGTAGCATCCACATACTTCCGCATTCCGCCATCTTAGCTCGATCCTGTTCCAGCTGTCTCTTCCTGGTTACAGATGACACGCCAGCTTGGCCAATCTAAGGGGACTAGTATGCTTGCCTTCCTTATAAGGTGACGGTTGGCAGCCAGTAAATCCTCCAATAGGGGATAGATTTCTCTCCCCTGCCTGAAATATAAGGTGACGGTTGGCAGCCAGTAAATCCTCCAATAGGGGATAGATTTCTCTCCCCTGCCTGAAATATAAGGTGACGGTTGGCAGCCAGTAAATCCTCCAATAGGGGATAGATTTCTCTCCCCTGCCTGAAATATAAGGTGACGGTTGGCAGCCAGTAAATCCTCCAATAGGGGATAGATTTCTCTCCCCTGCCTGAAATATAAGGTGACGGTTGGCAGCCAGTAAATCCTCCAATAGGGGATAGATTTCTCTCCCCTGCCTGAAATATATATAAGCTTGCTCCCGAGGTGGATCGGGGCTCGCCGTCCACGACATCGCTGTAACTCAACTTGATTCCTGCAATAAAGATTGCTGACGAGAAGGAACCGGAGGTTGTGTCTTCCTTGCTGGCCAGGGTGGGCGCAACAAAGCACAATATCAAGCACATTCTGTCTGGGTAGAGATTTAAAGATAGCTACATCAGTGCTTATAAACGGGACATGGATTGCAGAAGCTCTTTCATTACTTTCTGTGTATATGACTTTTAAGGTGCTATTCTAAAGCTTCCCAAGTCATAGGCATTTCATTAATATGTAGTGACATATTAATAACATATTCAAGATGTTTTCTTTAACTGTGATTAAATTAATATGTAAAATTATGTTATATATTATATAAGCTGACTTACACATCTAAGAATTCCATATCAAAGATTTAATCAAAAAGCAAAATGTGTCACAGTTAACAGCAAATGTGAATTAGTTTTATTTGTCTTCTTTCTAAAATTTCAAATCATGACATTTTTCACGGAATTAATGAGGCA